TATCTTGAAACCAATAATTTTACGGCTAGCCAATAAGAATTGGAGGACAAGTTTTAATGATCTAGGCAGCCAATAGAGTACTTGTGCAGCTTTCTTTGACGAGAAGAAAAATTGGCAACTTAGAATTCTTTTTTAGAAAGGAACGGTCAAGGTTTTTGGCTGGACACTTCACAATTAATAAAAGCTTATCATTGGCTAACATAAGTGGGTAGCTTTGTGAAATTTTTGAGAAACTTGGCAAGAAGACGTGTTGATTTTCAACACTCTCCCTCAGCACGTACTTCTCTGATTTTATCTATCATACCAAGTCGTTCACAAAATTCTGCAAACTTAGAAGAATTTAGACTTTTAGTGAACATGTCTGCAACTTGGTCTTCAGTCGTGATTGGCTCCATTTCTATTTCTTCACTTAGCACCCTCTCTTTGAGAAAATGATAGTGAACTCTATATGCTTAGTTCTTGCGTGAAATACTGGATTTTCTGCTAGTTGTACAGCTGACTGGTTATCACAATGAAGTTTTACTGGGTAATCTATTTTCTTGTGCAAATCCTTTATCAGCTGCATTAAACATGTACTATCTTAAGCTGCCATTTCAGCTGCTCTATATTCTACTTCAGTAGTTGAGAGTGATACTGTCGGTTGTCTCTTACTACACCAATAAATTAGTCCTAAACCAAGATGGAAAACATAGCTCGTTGTTGCCTGTCTTGTATTATGATTCCCAGCATAATTCGCATCACAGTGTCTAATTGTTTTGATTGCTTCTCCTTTCTTATATAACATACCAAAATTAGTGGTTTCTTTCACATACCTCAATATACTCCTAACAGCTTCTAGATGAGGCTTCTTAGGATTTGGCATAAATTGACTTGCCACTCCAACGGCAAACGAAATATATGGTCTCGTTAGCGTCAAGTAAATTAGGCTTCCCACAAGTTGATGATATATAGAAGTATCCTCCAAATCTTTGCCTTCATATGAACGTAGCATAGCATTTAGCTCCATAGGGGTGGAGATATGTTTGTAGTCTTGCATCCCAAACTTTTGTAAGAGACCTTTGGCATACTTCTGTTGACATAGAAATAATCCTTCGCGTGTTTGATCTCGCTCGAGCCCAAGCAAGTGTTTCATTCTCCAAGTTCTTTCATTTGAAATCGAGCTGATAAGTTTTCTCGTACCAATTTACTTTCATCTTCATCATATTCAGTAATTATAAAATCATCCACATAAACTAGTACTATTGCTAGTTTTGAAGGCAATGAAGCTTTTATTTAAAACTCCTAGCTTAGACCATCCTTTTCTTCTACAGTACAATGTATGTAGGCTGCAATGACCATGTCTATATTTTGACTTTTGTATATTTTATATTTTACCAGTAAAAGCCAGTGTATGGGCTACGTATGTAAGGGGAAAAAATGAATGAAAACCTGACTTTTTTGTCCCAGCAATTGTGTCTTTTCTCTGTTCTGTTTT